ACTAAGCCCTGCATCGCAGACCAAAATGTTTTGGTACTCTTCAGGCTTCATGATGTCCTGCACACAGTCAAGGCTTCCAGTGCCAAAGGCAGCAAAACATCTTCGAACCTACACCTTGTTTGAGTGTAGGTTCTGTGTTCTGTGCTTCATAGGCCTCAATGTGTTTTCAGTAACCAGTAGAACGATGAGCTGGGTCTCATCTGCCACATTCTCCAGGAAGGATTTTGTCTTCCTCAAATACATCTTGGCAAAATCCAGTCTGGCTTTTTTACATTTCTGTGTCAGCGGGGTCCTCCTGGCTCTCCTGCCATAGCGTTTCACCTCGTTCAGATGTCGATGGATGGTTCGAGCTCACACTGTTGCACCCTGAGTCTGCAGAACAGCTTGAATTTGTTAGGAAGTTCATTGAGGCTGTTTAGCCACCATTCAGACTATCCTTTGCTGCAGTCTTTTATCAGTATGTTCTCTTCAAAGGTCTCCGTCCCTAATGGTGGATATCTGCCAAGGCTCTGGAAGGCTTCTGTCTCCACTGTGGTTGGCAGCAAAGGCAACAGAGGCTTTGAGTGCTTTATGTTTGGTTTTCTTTTCCATTTAAATTCAGCTGCGTTTTCCAGCTGCCTCTATCGAAACAGAAGTTCCTACTGCCTAACACATGACAACATATTTAAAATGTTCCACTGATACAAATAAATATCCTGCTTATGTTTGTGTGTGTTTGCACATTTGTAGCTTAGTTAGCGCTTTGGGGTCCAAAGGGACTAAGTAAAGAGTCCCTATGCAGAGCTGCAGAAGTTCAGATGTTCACCGGGAGTAAGCAGGACAGTCAGGATCAGAAAAGAGTCCGTCAGACAGCTCAGAGTGGAGATACTGGACAAAGGATGGAGAAAAAGAAGAAAAGCTTAGCAAAGATTCACAGATGTAGTGATGGAGGAGATGCTGTTGGTCTGACAGAGGAGGATGCTGGGACAGGAGGAGGTGGTTGCATGTTATCTGCTAGCAGCTGAAGGAAGTAGCAGAGCTGTTATTCCTTTATTACATCTTTCTTTTCCATGATTTAAATAAATGTAATAAAGGGTTTCAGTAACATCCCCAAACTGTGCTGCCGTACTGAGTGTAGTTCTGTGAGCGCCTGTTCACGTTGTTCAACATGCTTTGAGACAACAGGTGTAAATTCTTTGACTTGGGTCGGTGAGTCTGATAGCTCAAGTGTTGGGCTGCTATCTGAAGTTGGAAATGATTTTATCGTTAACCATGGGGGTGGAAGTATTATTTCATTTACAGTTAAGTTTAAACCGTAGAAATATCTGGAAATTTCCCTCATTTTTGATCAAATCATAAAAAAGCTGCTTTATCGACCTCACTGTAACACTTATCTCTGTCACTTTATTTATGTCGTAATATGGCAAGTTTCATTTCCATGTGTGATTCCTTATAACAAAATATTATAGTTGCTGTTGTTTTTTCCAAATCACAGAACACTTTTGTCATTTAGTAACTTGTAATTGTATCTTTAATAACCACTTCAGTTGTTGTTTGATTCCTGTTAATGTATTAGTTGGTGATCAGAGGAGTGTGAGGTTTCTCAGGCAGCAGATGGGTCTGTACCGACTGTTAGAGCGAATTGTTAAATGTTGTCATTTTTGTGCTTACAATTGTTTCAAGCTGCATGATCAAAGACATTCTGAATGGTGGGGTGGGGGGTTATAGTGTTAACTGCAGGCACATTCTATATAAGGAACGTCACTTCCTGCCCTTTGTGGGCTCACCTGTGTTTGTATATGGTAAACCGTTAGAGGAAGCTAAGCTAAGGGGTGAGGGGAGATGACGCCTTTGTGATCACCAGGAAGACACACACACACACATGCCCGCACATGCATACACACACACACACACAGTGCTTTTGACTTTACAACACACCACATGGGGTTTACAGTGGGGCTCTGTGTCATTTCAATAAAAAGGCTGAAGCAGAGGCTGAAGCGGAGGCTGGATCGGAGTCATCTGAGGTCGAGGGCCGAGTGCTGCTCTGAGATTCCCACCGAGCTTCACTTGCGTTAAAACAGATCGATCGCTGTTTTGTCTTGCTTTGTTCACGGGAATAAGTGCCTGAGTCAGCGACGTCTATAAGTTTAGACCTAACACCGACCTCCCAGCCTGCTTCTCTCTTCAGAAATTTATTTGGTCTTCTCCTGTATCCCATAATCCTTTGCTGTGTTTCAGGTGTTCGCTGTGAAACAGCCAAAGTTGACCTTGTGATGTTGGTGGATGAGTCTGGGAGCATCAGCAGAAATGACTTTGATAAAATT